AGAGCGTGATAATCAGTGGCTGGGTGTCAGCTTATCAAGGCAACCAAAAGAAAATGGATCTATTGTTGTATGTATTAACCACTGGAGCTGTGTGTCTGTCAGACTACTCTCACCTTTCCTGTGCTTCTGTGTCAAACGTGTTTGTTTTTTATCCGTAGGCTTGTGGACATAGATGGAAAAATATCTTTTACATAAAAAATGAACACAAACTCCCACATGGTATTTGTTTTGCCATCACTTCTGATTTTCGAACTGAACTGAGCAGAAGAATATGCCCATGCTATATAGGTAAGCAGAACACTTGGGTGCTTTGTAGAGAAGGGTAAGATACATAATTGCATGGTGCGGAGTTTGTGAAGAGCCTGTGTTGCTTTGAGCAGGCCTTCTGCAGTCAAAGGCTTGAATTGAGTGCTGATGATATGAGCCCAATTTATGATGTAAATTTATTAGAAATGTGTTTATCACATCACAAAAAAGCTGCTTCCAACAGGCAAAAAGTCTATTAAATAGGGCATAAGAATACTTGCTCCTTGGATTGAATCACCAAAGGATGTGCACTTCTGAAAAATAGGCCAGTAGAGGACATGCTTCCTTCCTTTATTCTGTCATTTGCTTGCTCTGCTCAGGAGAGCACCTCACAGCAGAGCAGCAGTAATACCTGCAAGTGATTGTTGCCATCTGCTCCTTAGCCTTTGATGCAAAGCTGCTGTGGTTCCTCAGCACAGTGTCTCCCTGTTCCTTACTTGCCTCCTGCCAAGGCCACTGCTGTGGTGAGAGACGTCCAGTGGTCCTTCTTCAGAGGACTGCAGGAGCAGGATAAGAGTCAAGACCTGAAACTGTCAAACAAGGCCATCCCTGCCTTCCCCTTCATACCTCCCTCCCTTCCAGGAGAGCGATCTCATGACCCTGCCCCTTTACAATGCAAGGAAGAGCTGGCAATGTGGCCTTTCTGTGCTGACTGATAGAGTAACACCATCAAATGTCCTTCTGCTCCTTTGGAGACTGTTAGGAGCGTTGGTGAAATCATGCTTTTATCTTCAGTGACTTTTTAAGGATGGATGAGATGAAGAGAACCCTGATGGGAGTCAGTTAGAGAAGAAAAGCAGGAAGACAGAGCTGGGAAAGTTGAATGTAAAGACTACTGCTGAGGATGATAGTTACCAATGTGTCTAAGATAGCCATAACACAGCCCTTCAGAGCACTAGTGGAGCATCAGGGCAACTCCTATCAAGATATGTAAGCCTGTCAATCAGATTATGCCTGAATCATACAGAGTGGAAGAGAAGAGTTAAGCTTATCCATCTGTGCTGCTCAAACTATTTGTGCTATTTAATCTATGGAACAATTTAAAAAGAAAAATATAACCTTTTAAAATCACAAGATTTCAAAGGCAACTGTGATCAAGTGAATACATAATACTTTGAGTTTGTTACGGTACTATATTGAAGCTAGAGGCTATACAGTAGAAACCAGTGGGTTTAGTTTTATTACGAAACTGAAAACTAACATTGTTTTACTTTGGTTTTGTTGTTTTGTTGTTTTTAACTTCTGTTGAAGACCTGGTAACAAATTCTGAAACTGTGTGCATCTCATCCTTTTAAATATTTCTTGCCTATTCCCAGATCATGCGCGAAAGTTTGGAGAAAACCATGGGTCATGCCAGGCTGGAATGTCTAGTTTTTATGTTGAGGTGTGTACTAAAGATACCAAACTTTTCTCTGTGTATAGATACTTACATATATTTATACATATGTAGAAGTGAATATGTATATGCAAACAGTATCACTGTCTCTTTGTTTTTGTGGGAGGGAAAAATCAGACTTCTCTCATTTCTTTTTAACTGAATCTTGATAAGACTTGCATGATAATTTCCAACTAATACTTTTACTTTTTATTCCCAAGAATACATTTATGCCTTACTAAATCCTAGATTACTTTTCATCTGGAAAGAGAGCATTAATATAACAGAGTATGAAGTTTTGTTAGTCTCTTTAATCTGTTTCATGTAACATTAATAATGCTTAGCTTCTTGCTTTACAAAGTAATATTCTGTATTATTTAATTTCCATTTCACCCTAAGATTGTGATTTCTGAAAAACTTTTGAGAAAATAATATCCTGTTTGTTTCTGTATTTTGAAATTGTTCACAACTCAGAGTTTTTAATAACCTTATTTTTGGAAAGTCTGAAAAATGTAGTCTGTTATCTAGTGGTAATCCCTCGGTGCTGAGCCAGACGCATCTCCAGTAGCATGTCATTGAGTTTGCTAGAGATCTAAGGAAAAGCACTTGACTTGTTTCACTTATCTTCATGAATATTTAAATATTAATAACATGGCTTTATTTTGTTTTTCTTTTAGGACTTAATTATAATGGGAGCCCCTGGATCATTTTATTGGACTGGTTCTATATTTGTATACAATACAACTGCAAATACAATCCACGCTTATACAGATTCAAATAACCAAGTGAAATTTGGCAGTTATCTAGGTACTTAAAATTATTTAATACTTTACAAAAATGTAAATCAAAGCATTAGCTGATCTTGAAGTGAGTGCATGGTGTTTATCAGTGCTTTCTTTATTAATGCCAGAAGTGATGGTTCTAAAGATGTGTTCTGATTTTGTTAAGTATTATTTAATTATAAGGCTGCTTCGCTGTTCTTTTTACATGGAAGCATCTCAAAACATTAGATTTCTGTTTTTATCATCTCTCCACTAAGTTTCTATCAAGTCTTGATTTAGAAGGTAGAGATATGCTTCTGATTAGCAATGGTTCGCACTTCACTGAAGTCTGAAATGCTGCCAAGGGCTTTCATAGCAAAAGACATAATGACTTCACGTATAACAGAAATAGGAAAAGTTTGTTACAGTGAAAGCTGCTAGGAAACAAGTCTTAATTGTACCGTCAGTAAGGGGTACTATGCTGTGATCTTAAGAGAGAGACTTGCTTCCAATCCTGATGATTATTTTATTTTTTTTTTTTTTTTATTCCAAACATATTTTGGTCTGGATACATGGAAATTTAAACATTATCTAAGAATGTCTGCAAAGAAAGCCATGAAGCTGCTATTATATACCTACATCCAAGCTGAATTTAGTGCTAAAATTTATAGGTTTTTATGCCAACAACCATCAGCAGCTTCAGTTTTCTCACTACACGCTAAGAAAAGCTCATCTGTCCTTCCTGAATTCCTGAGCAAGAATTTTTTTGCCTTTTGTTTTTTTGCATTTTAGCATTCATAGATCCAGTTCATGTGGATAAACATTTCCTGTTTCTGATTTCACTCTTTTGACAATAAGAAGTCGGCATACACTATGATATAGCTGTTATGAAAGACAAAGTGGCTAACACTCCAGAATTCAGTGTTGAGCCTTGCAAAGGCTGCAGTTGGGCTCTGAGGAGAAGTCAAGTCAGTCAGTCTTTCGTAGGACAAATGAAAAACTTCTGAGAATGCTTGCTCTAGCTTTCCAGTAATAATTGGCAGAAAAAATATTACACCTGTCTGGGAAAAAGCTCATTACAGATTTCTGCTCCTACAAGTATAAGAGTGAGAATTTCTGTAATGAATGAGTCAAGTCATTGATAGCCGAAGCCAAATACAGGCAAATGGGTAAAAGCTCGCATAAAGACTGTGCTGGGGAAGATGCAGGGAAAGCATTCCCACAGGTGTGGTCTATTCTGGTTCCCTTGGCCATCTAGGACCTGAGATCAGCTGGAGTTTGCTTCACAAATACTTCTCCAGTGACCTGGTGCAACCATAACAGCCAGATGCTGGCTTGGCAGAGCCATGTGTCCTCTTAACTTGCCCTTTCTACACCATAGTAAAGAAGGGGACTGTTGGCTCAGTGGTCTGTCTATACAGTTGCAGCTGTGATAAAACTTAAATTTTGCACTATCTGTTGTCTGTTTACACTGTTCTTCCAGCAAGGACTGAGGAGGTGGCTTTTTTATTTACATTTTTCATTTAACTGTCACAGAGTAATAATTAGTAAATTAGAGTGTGCAGGAAGAGTGTGCAAAATTACAGTAGCATTTTTCATAAGCTGGAAGAAGCAAACCTGTTTAAGTACCAGACAATTAAGAGGAAGAAGGAAGTTAGAAAGAGAAGGTGGCAATACATAACTTCTGGTAGAATTTTCTTGACTAATTCAGATTATCTTAGACATTAATAACTGACTTCTTTAAAAGGAATTAGATAAGTAAGTCAGTCTTTCAAATCAGCTGGGCCTGGCAAAAGACTAGGCATTAACATAGACCTTAGGCATTAACAAAGTACCTTAAAGAAATCTGGAAGTAATAGGCAGTTTCTTTTAGGAATCTGAGAATTGCAAACGACATTTTGGAAAACTGGAAAGCTGTACATAATGGTAAAGAGGAGACAGTTCTGGGGTTGGAAATAAAATTTCATTTGACTGTGCCTTTAAATTTAAATTAGGTGATTCCCCATCTCCCCAGACATTTTAATACCACACTGAAAATGAGGACTGTCAGATTACTATACTTTCTTCTGGTGTGTTTGGCTGCTTGTTGTTGTTGTTGAGTTTTTGTGGGTTTTTTTAAAGATGTTCATTAGAATTATGAATGTTTACACTTCAGCAAAGCCAAAATAACTAGAAAATAAAGGTCAGAGGAGGTAAATTAAAGTTCATTCACTTAAGCTTATTTTTTTGTTGAATAAGTAAAAACTAGGTGTTGACCTTTAAATGATAAATTGTTCTTAAATTATAAATTCACCTCTTTTAGCTTACAGTATGAAAAGTAAAAGCTGGGTTAATGGAAACTTGCATTCTAGACAGTTGTCTTCACAGATGAAAGATTTAAGGCTCATTCTCATCTGGTCCAAGATGTTTTTTCCATTTTCTCTGCATGCTGTGAAAATCAACAGTCATTCAGTAAATGCAGGAATAGCAGAATATGTTAACTGTCTTCCCTGTTTCAACTAATGTATTTTGGAAAGAGTAAGGATGACTTCTGTAGCTTCAGATAAAGGTGATAGCCTTCAGTTTGCAGTTCTGTGGCTGGACGTCTGCACCAAAATATGGTCCTGTTTGTTAAGAGCTGTCTCCACATACAGAAATACTTTGTTATGTAGATTCATTTACAAAAGCTGATGAAGGGTTTTCTTATTACAAAATCAAGCTTTTGCTCCAATTTGTTCCTAACATTTTCATATGTGTACATCCACAATGGTCTGTATGTGTGAATGTATATGTGCACACATATATAAGTAGTACGAAATTTAATTTTTCTGCAGTCCAGTTACAACAATAGTCAAAGAGTAACAATTGAATCAAGCGTTTCCACATTGCAGTGTATAAATATTTGATCATTTTTGTTGTATTACAATATGGGCTCACTAAACAATTGCAAAATACGCATTAACAGAAGGTGTTTCTAATTTATTTTATTGGTTTCTAAAGTATGGCAGACAATTGAGATCCTGTTATTTTTATTGAAATTAGTTTTATTTAAAAATAATTAAAATTAATTTTATTAAATGTATTAAAATTAGTGTTTCTGACACTTGTTTTTGCTTGCCAGAACTTAATGTTTGTATTGACCTTTTGCTTATATTTCAAAAACTCTCTTTTCTGTTTTCATTACTAACTTGCATGAGGTCTGAATTGTCAGACTCACCATAATTTGTGGTGTTGACAGCATTTACACATCTCTATTTTTTTTTAGTATAGCATTTTCAGTATTAAATAGTGCATTTCTAATTTACAGGATACTCTGTTGGAGCTGGACATTTTCTGACATCAACCAGTACAGAAGTAATTGGAGGTGCTCCCCAGCAGGAGCAGACTGGTAAAGTAAGAGATTGTCTGTACTGTTGTTTTGAAAAATATACTTCCACATACCCACCCATGATTTTCCAATTTAGATTAACATATTAAAGATGAGTATCAGATATGTATGATTTCTAACAGGGAGAAAAGTCAAAGAAGGAATGAGGAAAGAAACTCTAGATAACATTGCTGTGAACTATGGTGTTAAAGAAAGGTACGGATAGGAAATAATAAACAGCTGTACCTTGTGATACTGTGTGTTGCTTTGCTGATTCTCTAGCACATGCTGTAGAGAAAGCACAGGAAAGTATTTCAGATTACTGTTTGCTGAACTCCACTTATATTTTCTTTTCATTTTAGGCATACATTTTTAGCATTGAGAAGCAACTAAATATTCTATTTGAACTAAGTGGTAAAAAGGTAAATCTTTCATGCTACTTTTCTACACCTTAGAACTTCTAGCTTGTCTTGGTCAAAATTCAAATATAATATGATTTCTTGTTTGCACACAGCTTGGTTCTTACTTTGGAGCTGCAGTTTGTGCTGTGGACCTGAATTCAGATGGCCTCTCAGACTTGCTAGTTGGTGCTCCGATGCTAAGTACCATCAGAGAAGAAGGAAGAGTTTATGTCTATGTCAATTCAGGTTCTGTAAGTATTTTCTCTTAAAAACACATGGTAATGCAGTCATTCTATTATAACAAGTTAAGAGGAAGAGATTTCCTCTTTCTTGTCATACAGTATTTGAGGATATAGGAAAAACAGCTCTAGAACTGTGATGGCAATCCCAGCAGGACTGTAGCACACTTGCATACATGAGCTGTATCAACTGTAACATATTGGTACTTACATGAGTGTTAGAAACTGAGGACAGACTGGTTTTGTTTCATCGTAACTTCAGATGGTGACAGGCTGCCCCTACAGCCTCTTTACAGGCTCTGCTCCAGTACCATGCTTACCACTGGACTGGTATGTGAAGAGCAACTTATTTAATGCATCAGAAACAAACAAGAAATGAAAAATTTGTGCAGTTAGTGGTGCAAGTCAGGAAAGAGACTGGTAAGTCCTCAGTTTAGCAAATAAAGTAACTGGACAGATTGTGCATTAGAATTAGCTTCCTTTTATTCTTTCTAAAGATAGAAATGAAAGTATAATCACTGCTTTTTGTGTGCTTTTGAATTTGCCTGTCTTTCTAAATTTTATCTTGATACCTTATTTTCCTTCCTTCCTCTCCACAATGATACATGGTAATTGCAAGCATAAGAGAATAAATATTTTCTTAACACGTTTTCCTCAGAGAACTGAGTCACTTCAGGATACCCACAACTAAGGCACACAGAATCGCTCTGAAGCAGCTATTGTTTACTACCTTCTCGTGGTGTATCGACATAACTTTTTAGTAAACACAGTCCTCGCAGAGCAGTAAGCTCTTGTATTCTGATAAAAGCCTGCTTCTGTTTACAGGTTTTCGCTATAGGAACACATTGCTGTTATCTTTCTTAAATAACTTTCTTAGTCTTTATTATTCTTATACTGTTAAATAAATTCTTATACTATTAAATACTGTTAAATATCTTTGATAATGCTTGCTTCTGCACCAAGGAGTTCAGTAGGATTATATATTGGCATCCGAGGCAGTTTTAACATTTTGAGTAATGTTCCAGGTCTCCTCAAGATGCTGTGTTAATGTGCCATTGACTCTATTTTCCTTCAGGAGGCAAAGATGGTAGAACTGAACATAGAGCTCAGTGGGAGTGACTCATACGCAGCCAGGTTTGGAGATTCCATAGCCAATCTAGGAGACATTGACAATGATGGTTTTGAAGGTAAGTATATCAAGAAAATCCCTTGGGTTTCATTCTCTCTGAGCGGTGGACTGTCATGATAAAAAGGGGGATTATGGAAGTTTGAGAAGACTTTCAGTTGGTGACTTGACCTTTCATTTCTAGACCACTGATTTGAAATGTAGCTGTTGATATAGGTCATTGACGTGTAATTCCAGGAGGTTAGGTTCTGTTGCTTTAATAAAGAGCATGAGCGTAACGTGATAACGTAGTCTGTAACTCTGGGTGCTGGACCTCAAGTGGTGTCCTTAATCCTGTTTTAGACATCTGAGACAACAGTTGGGGAACAATTTGGCAAATTTGTAACATCAAAAATAAAAATTACACATTGAGTCAAGATCTGCTTCTGTGTCACCAATAGGAAGTAGTAAACAGATGGGGATATTGAAAGCAACCTGCAAGCTGGGAGACTGTTGTGGGACTACTTCCCACTCAAGCCCTCAGATGACTCGTGAATTGTCTGGCATGGGCTCCCAGTGGGGCTAGGACAGAGAACACAAGGAAGGACTTTAATGGCCATGCCCCGATAATGAATTCAAAATGTTAATGGGGCTCTGAGGAAGCTTTTTCTTCCTGTTGCCATACAGGAGGATCTATTTCAGACACATGAAGTTAAATGCCCAAACAGAAACTGAGAATATCCTCCCTTCCTCCCCCACCACCCAGGCTGAAACACCCTCTCTAAATATGATGATTTGTGGGCTGAAACTTCCATTGATGCTCCTCAGGTGGAACCTGCTTGGAGGGCAGAGAGATTCAGTCTCCAGACTTGTATCTAACTTCTAGTAAAAGTAATAGACATCGAAAAGGCAATACCGTGTGACAGTTACAGATAAAAAGTATTTTAGTTAATGAAAACAGATGAAAGTTTGTAAAATGTGTTAAATATCTAGAATTACTCTCATGGCCTTCTACTTCCCTTCTGCTTCCAGTCAGGCTGCCTAAGATATGGTTGCTAGAGAAAGCCCTGTGGTCTGCTCCTCTCAGCTTCTTTCCTTCTAATTTCATTCACTGGCCGTTTAGGCAGCATGCAGAAACACAGCTGACTGGGAGGCCTCCAGCTAGACAGAAGACAAGCAGAGGGAACCTGGCCCAGTGGATTCATGCATCTTGTCATGGTTTCAAGCAAATAGGAATGGCCAGTATTCCTGCATGAAAAGCTGGCATGTGCTCCCCTCCAGCAGAAGGGCAGGCACAATAGGCTGTGCAGGGACAGAATGAAAAAACGACAGGCATTTTCTACTGTTCAAAAATTCATAAACCGTTTCAGTTTTTCCGTCATCAAAACTTGCACTGTATGCAGGGAGCTGATATCCTTTGAGCAAAAACCGGCAGCTTTTTTCTGGGCTGTACCTTTACCAAGTCAACTTCTTCACACTTCTGATTTACCTTTGTTATTTGCAGTTACCATCCAGGGTTCTTCTTTCACTCTTCCCTTTGTCTTGTGTTCTTGATCCTGTTCCATAACCTGCAAAGCTTGGAACAGTCGTTCTCTTCTTATCTGGTCTCCTGTTCCTTAAAGTAGTCTTTCCCTGCTCCCCTCCCCGCCCCCCTCCCCTCCCTTCATACCTGTTCTTTGAACTCATGTTAAATTTAGTTTCTCCTGTTTTGCATTACATTCACAATTTTATACACAAGTTTCAGGTTTTGTCCCAAAACATTTCCCAACTGCACAGGAAAGCCATATCCAAATGTAGGGCTGGAGAACAGAGAAGTAATATCAAATTAATAGCAGCATAGCAAAGTAGATGTACGACACAGAATATAATGTGAAACAGGCACCCTGAAACTGCAGGGGGAGGTGGAGCAAACAGGTGTGTTAGCTTTTGAAGGGAGCGAAAACGCTGAAAAGATAAAGTGGAGGCAATATTGAGAGTGGCAGTAGGAAAAGAAATTTTGTAAGAAAAACAGCTGGAAGCAAAATATAAAGAGAAATTGGGTGTTAGAAACCATTTGTCTGTAGTAAGTGATAAAAAAATCACAGCAGATATGACTCCTTCAATGATCTATACCATCAGTGTCAGCCCTGTGAAGGTAATGGCATGCGTACTGGCGTAGAATCTGAGCTCCTCAAGAACATATGTGTAATTTTAATTAGCACAACTTGGCTGTCCTATTTTCATCTCACCAGTAGAGAGACGTAACATATTTTGTGTTTTATTCACAAAAGTATGGATTCAATCAGAAGAACTGTTCAGTAAAACTAAATCGTCAGAGCTTTGCTTTTCTTGTGATTTTGGTTCCGTGCAGCATACAGTATTTCTGATTTGCAGATAGTTCAGTTTTGCTTATTTGTGAATGAAAGTTCACAATTATTAATTTGTATTGGAGACTTTCAAGATTATGCAATTAATCTCTCTCCCCTACTCCCTCCACTTTTTGGTTAATAACCTCTGGATATTGAAACCATGGGGCTTTTGGGGAAGAACTATTGAAGGTGCATGGGTGGGTTGGTTGGTTGGTTGATTTGTTTACGTCTTACCAAACCCCTCTGGGATTAAATCATTTAGGCATAAAACATATCCCTTTGTACAGCTACCTTCATTTCCTTGTTAAACACCTGTTCAAGCCTGTTATCAGCTGTTAAGGACATTTCTTAGAAAAATAAATGCTTCATTTCAGGCTGCATAATAACAGTACTTCTTGTGTTCAGTGATTTAATCTGTGTGGGAATAGCAGAGTGTAGGCAAATCATTATGGTTCCATGAATACAAGGTGCTTTTTTATTTCTTCTTAAAGATCATGGTCATTTTGGCTATTCTCCATGATAACCTATTAAGGGTCATATTCAGTATTGGTTGGAACAGGCTTTGAACAGAATGGCTGTATTTGGCCCTTGTTTTCCAGAAAAAGAAGTTTTTAAGGAAAAGTAAGATTACTGAGATAGTCTGTATTGTTTCCATTTGCTTTGTATCTATCTTCAGCATTTCTTTTGAATTCAGTCAAATAAATTTGGTCCGGCATTGCATGCATCATGATTTGGATTTCTTTAACTCTTCCTTGTTCATGTATTGTAGTCAACCGATTATTGTTAAATTGTTTTTCCACAGATGTAGCAATTGGGGCTCCACAAGAAGATAATCTAAAAGGAGTTATTTATATATATAATGGCAGGGAAGATGGAATAACGCCATCATTTTCACAGGTAAGCATTTTCAATGAAAAATAATCACTACAGAAAAACCTTAAGCTTAAATTTGAGAGGGTTTTCCCTTCATTTAATGCTCAGGCTGAGGTACTGTAAAAGGCTTCAGAATTTTTTTATGCGATCTATGATTTCCAGTCATAATATAACCTATAATAGAAAAATAAATTGTTTTGGAGGCCTCAGACAGGGTTTATGGGATATAACATTTGCAGTAATTGAGGAATATTGCTTTCAGAGGTATACTTTCAGAGGTAAGCATGTAACTGCCTTTGGCAGCATGATAATTGTGCTAACATTTTTCATTGGATATTGTAACTCAAAGATTAGCTTTCTGAGAATAATTTTATCTTCTGTTTTTTCTTTTTTTTTCCTCCTCAGAGAATACAAGGACATAAAGTCAGTAATTCTTTAAGCATGTTTGGACAATCCATAGCAAGTGGCATTGACACAGATAACAATGGTTATCAAGGTGAATTATGCAATTTTGTTTATTTTTTGGTTTTTTTAAAGGGTAAGGATTCATAGAGAACAGCCCTACAATGCTACTTACTACTTTTAACAGGAGCAAAATCTGTTATTATGATGATATGTCACATCTTGCATTTTGGTAAGAAAAAAAGAAAGAGGTAAAGCTGAGGCCAAGCAGTCAGTTTTCACGGTCATCTAACTATTATTTAAGGACTGAGAACAATGTAATAGTAAGATCATAATGCAGAAGAGGAAGAAAAATGTACTTTTTATTTTACGGCAGCCATCTGATCTGCTAATGTCACAGTGAGCTAGTTTGGGCACTGGGAACATGTTTGTTGTCCAGACTAGTGTTCTAACCTAAAAATCGTACTGGTCTTCACATAGTCTGAGATTTTGTCAGGAATCAGTGAGCTCTATGACTCTCAGTCTATGTAAACAGTACATTAACCTGAGTCAGGGCTTACAGCATTGGATTAAGACTGTTGTGGAGTTGTGGGCATGACACAGAAGTGCTAATTTGCTGTAAAACAACCTAGCTGGTTCTAAGTATATCCTCACTGTTTTATACATATTGTCAAAATATTTTGACATTAGGTCAGGTCAGATGTTGCCTGTCCTGCCCCTGTGGGTGTAAGAGCATAAAGTTCTCATGAACTGCATGTTGTATGTTTTGGTTACATCAATAGAAAAGTCATCCAGGTTAATTTGTGATGCTGGGCTAAGAGTAGTGCACAAGTAGTCTGCTGTCAGGTCACCTGTTGTTTACTGACTTGGCAGTCATATCCTCAAACCTTTATATCCTTTAGACTCCTCTGACAGATTCACTTTTGCTGCCTCATTTGAGAGGCATGTATACTGTGTATATTTCCATCCTTATTGCATGAACAGTTTTCAGTTCAGTTGGAAGAAATTAATTTTTTTCTATCTGTATGTATAATTTCATACATATAACATATGTAGTTATACATAAAAAACTCAGATATGTATAGGTATACATAAGGTATAAAAAGAAGGCAAGGACCTCCTTCTATGAAGCTCAAGATCGGAGCATC